TCTCTCTCTCTCTCTATCTACTTTCCTCCAACTCCCCCCCCCCCTTCCTCCCCTCTTCGTCTCTTCTCTTTAAGATCTCGTCGCTTCGTTAGTCACTCACAAATTGACGTCGTGGCGAGTAACAAGTAATCCGTTAAGCTCGATTTACCTCATCTCGATTTTTCGATCAAATTTTCCAGGTGACATCATCACCTTACCAGAATATACGCTATTTCTATAATAAATTAATTAACGAAACAACACACTTACTTATACGTACGTATCAACGTATAAGATTTAATAATAATGACACGTAAGTTAAATAAACGAAAATGTAATCAGGTAAAAAGGAAAAAGAAAAAAGAATCAAAAAAGCTTATCGTTACCGATAAGAAAATATCCTTAAAAGTTCTACTTCAATTAGTCAAATAATCGACAATTAATCAACAAATTATTATAACAACACAATAACCATAAATCGTCACTAATAACCTCAACCATTGATGCGAACATTAAACTCGAATTAATTACAAGAAAATAAAAAAAAAAACCACACTTTCCTTTCTTTCTCTGTTTTTCTTTTCTTGTTTTTTTTTCTTTACGTTTAGCAAGAATTTATCTTAAGCAATTTATTTTCAAGAATCTCTCTTTAGGTCTTATTTTATTTTATTTTATTTTATTTGATTATTATACTAATTAAACGTAGAAGAGATGCGAACAAATTTCAAACAAAATAAATAACAAGAGACAATGAAATAAATGGAAATAATAAAAAAAAAAAAAAAAAGAAGGAAGAGAAATCGTTTTTGGTAGGTCGATCGTAGTCGAGAAGGTCGATGGGGGTTGAGGGGAGGAGGGTGGAAGGGTAGTGGTCTTAGTATTAACAAGAAGGACAGAAAATTATATCGGGTGCTTGCCTGGGCTCCCTTAATTACTTTATCAATAATCATGCACGCAACGTAGGCGACCGCACTCGACAAAACTTTCGACGACTAACATAAGCTCGAAAGTGTTCCAAGTCCTTTCTCTCTCTCTCTCTCTCTCTCTCTCTTTCTCTATTTCCAGTTACCCCTTCCTCCCTATAAACTCTCTTAACCAACAACGTTAACCACCCCTTCTCGTTTCACCCTATGTTCTGCTCTCGAGCATCGTGCTTGTCGCGATATCGTGCGAGAGATCGGAACGAAAAAGCTCTGGCGCGTTAATAAAGCACCCATTCCCACCCCCAGCCCCACTCACATCCCCCAATGAATTATTATTCGTACGCGTAAAGGTGTACGAGAAATAACGATAAAAGAAAAGAAAAGAAAAGAAAAGAAAGAAAATGGACGATGAGAAGCGTTTATTAAAGTAAACGCACGAGTAAAACTTCCCCTCTACCGGCCACCCCTTTAGCAATGTTTTTAACTCAAAAGGTAGACACGAATAGGTAGCCAATATGATATGGGGGGGGGGGTTGTGAATAGGTGATATTATAGTGTTTTTAAAATATAAATACAATTTTTATAAACGATTATTGTTCTTCTCTATTTTTTACTTTATCTTGAAATTTCTTTTTTTTTCTTTTTTTGCAATTATTATCCAAGATTCTTTGTCACCATTTATCTTTGTTATCTGATTATTATGATAGATATCACCTGTGGCAAAGATGAATAGATGAAGAAGAATATCGTATGACATTTTTTTTTCTTTCTTTTTGTCAAATATCATTTCACAAATAATCAAGAAATACATTTATATTTGTATGTGTCTGTGTGTGTGTGTGTGTGTGTGTTACAAGTATTGTGAAAGAATCGCATAAAATACCGCAGTTGTATATAACGCGTCTTGTCGTTGGGATAATGCGGAAAAAGCGCGTTTCCATCTAACGAACGAAGAAACTTTCGACAAACCGACCAACCGACCAACCGACCGACCCTTCGGACATATCACTGCTCCCTTTTTTTTCTCCCTTTTTTTTTCTTCCTACGCTCCAATGAAATGTCACCAGACATGACTTATCCCTCTCTCTCTCTCTCTCTCTCTCTGTCTCTCTCTCTCTCGTGTTTTTGTTTGTTTGCTTTAAAGTGCAAAGAAGCATTCGTACGTGACGTTAATCTACCCTGTTAAATCTATACACAATAAAAAAAAAAATAAGGGAGGAATTAAAAGGGATATTAAAAAGGGAAGAAATATATCGTCTAGAAATAAAGAGGTGGGTTCATATTTTTGGTCCCTTTTTTCTTTCTTCATTTTTTTCTCTCTTTTCTTTATTTTTACGAGTTTAAGTCCAGCAGTGGAAAACGTGCCATCCATCCGCAAAGCTCCCATACATCTCTCTCTCTCTCTCTCTCTCTCTCTCTCTCTCTCTCTCTCTCTCACCTTCCCAAGAATTTACCGTCCCAATCTAGTCGCTTTCACAGGCCATCCAAGAGAGTCGCAGCTGCATGCCCTATGCATACCCTATGCAGCTGCGACTCGTCGTTACTAAGCCACATAAGGGCTTTCGCCGTTTTGCATTTTACACATGCATCTACCTACCTACCTATCCATCTATATATATATATATATATATATATATATGTATATGTGTGTATGTATGTAGAATGTCCGGAGGCTTCCTACACAGTTCACTATTACTATAACAGAACCAAATCTTACGTTGATACGAAACGAGGATCACGTTTACCTCGTTACTCTTCCCAAAACTTATTCCTTGATCGTTTTGAACATCGAATTTCCTTTCCCTATATTTTTTTTTTTCTTTCTTTCTTTCTTTCTTTCTATTTCTATATCATTTATTTTCTTAATAAAATCACGGAAATTTCATCGATCGAATTAAACGAGTTCGTTGAATTTTAATATAAAGAAAACTTATCCTCAACGATGATTTACTATAAAATACTAACTATTATTATTATTATTATTATTATTATTATTATTATTATTATTATTATTATTATAAGAGAACAAAAAATGAGAATTTCATTAAGTAATTCTACACGTTTCGCATTTGCAAATTTCCATCTCGCAACACGTGCAACATTGACCCACTTAGTTCGCCGGTGCAACGATCATCGGCGGTTAGCGCGACTTGGTACAATCGATAAGGGTATATAATTTTCGAAAATAAAAAAAAAAAATAAAAAGAAAAACGATTAAGTAGAAGGAAAAAATAGAATGAAAAAAAAAAAAGAGAAGAAGAAGAAAATGATGAGAGTTAAAGATAGGGAGAGAGAGAGAGTGAGAGAGAGATAGTGGAAAAAAGAAGTGGACCACGATTTTGTCCCAAGATAAAAACTCGATCGATCGAACGAATGAACGAACCGAACCTAACCAACGAACGAACAAGACTCGGCGTTTCTCTTTGTGATTCGACGCTCGGACGAGTCTCGTTTCGGGTCGGTTTTTATCTCGCTCGGGCGAAGATCCAAAAATATTTCCTTAAAACGCGCGGCATCTCTATATATACATATGTGGRAAGTATATATATATATGTAAAGGTATGTATAAGTATACTTACACGTATAGAAAAGGCAGAGAACAGGTGAGTAGCAAAAATAGATGAAAAGGGAAAGATAGGTCGAGTGCAGGACTAAATAATACCACCTGATTCCGTTGGCCAAATGGATTTGAAGGATTATTTGAAGAATTGTAAAGGCATTGAGGGGATTGTATGGATTTGAAAACGAAATAAATAGGAAGGAAAGATAATGAAGGATTTCATTTATAACAGGTGACTTATAACACTAACATTCGATAGCCCACTCATCTCCACTTTTATGGTGCTATCTTTCTTGTCAGACCATTACAATTCGTTACTACTTGCCGCGACGCGACACCGACGTTTTGACTACTTGTCACGGAACGCCTACTTTAGTTCTTAAAAAAAAAAAAAAAGAAAGAGAGAAATTGAGAGGAAGAAAGAGAAAGAGAATGTTCTTATAGATCGAAAGGAAGAATAGGTGTCAATTGTCTAAAAGGGAATTCAGCCGGGAAGGAAGTAAATAAGTGAGTAAGTAGTAAACAGTAGGATGAGGTCAGCCATGAAAGTAGTTCCGAACAATTCGATAGGATCTAATTAACGTTTTACTACTTCTAATCGCGTTGATTAACGACGATTTATAAATTGATGATGTATGATGGAATGTTAGAAGATAATTCGTTAGGAACTTGATGGTATTGGAATGGAAAATATGTTGCATGGTTATCGGACGATATCAGGTAGAAGTTAAACTCGTGTGTAGTTATTTCTGTACTCGATTACTTTATCGACAAATTTTAAAGATAGAAAAAGAGAGGGAAAGAGAGAGAGAGAGAAAGATACAGTTTGAGCACTTCTAACCCAAATGTAACTGTTATTAGTTAAAAAACAACTTGTTTATATATAAAAATATAGGTTTGTTCCTTTCCTCTATCTTTTCTAAACATGATAGTGAGCATCGTATACTTCCGTTTTATATCGTCATCATGTTAGATAGAAAATTGAAAAAAAAAAAAATACCTGTAAATGAAAAAACCTTACCTCATAATTTCATTCTCTTTTTCCTCCTCCCTCTTTTGCCGTATGACGACCTCCTCGATGATGCGCCTCTCCTCGGGAGTGAGGTGCGAGATATCGGGTAAGTCCTCCATCACGGTGTAAAGAGGTTGGGCGAGTTGGGTGCAGCACGGGGAGGTCGGGGTTTAACGCGTTGGTGGGCAGGATGGTGGGCAGGATGGTGGGTAGCGGCCTGGCTAAGAGGAGGAGGCCGGTGCTGATGCAGCGCCAAAACGCACCGGCGACGTCGCCTACGAGATAACGCGACGGACTCGCGCGAACTATGTTCTCTTCTCGAATATAAGACTGATATATAACCACCTTCCGTTATTATTATTTTTATTATTATCGCGGGATAACGCGCCTTTTCTACGACTACGGGATATCTAAGCCCTCGTCGCCGAGTCATCCGACACCCGGTGAACGCACCACCTTATCACCAAACCCTCGCAAACACGCCCGCGACGTTACGCCCTCCCCTTCTTCTTCTTCTTCTACTTCTTCTACTTCTTCTTCTACTTGGTCTCCTCTATCTCTCCCTCTTCTTCTCCTTCTCCTTATTATTCTATCTTCCTCGCTAATAACAACAATAGTCCTCAACGCGTTAAACTTATCAATTGTGAAATAATTCGTTCCTTTGTCTTCCTCTTTGTCCTCCTCCTTGTCTTCGTTCTCCTTATCCTCCTCCTCGTTCTTATCGTTATCGTTGTCGTTATCGGCCTCGTCGTCGTCCTCGTTCTCGTCGTCCACCTCCTCGTCGTCCTCCTCTTCGTCGTCGTCGTCGTCGTCCTCGTCTTCGTCTTCGTCGTCGTCGGTGTTGCTCGTCTTACGATTACCACCCGCGACATCCGTATGACAAATCATGTTCACAGACTTTTATGAGGTTCTCGCATTCTTCTTCTTCTCTCTTCCCTCTCCGTCGTACCTGGTCCAACGCTCGGATCCAGCATGGAACGACGTCGAGGGACGTTGTTGTTCTTATGATTGTCAAAGAAAATTCACTTTCTTTAGATTCTTTATTTGTTTTTCTATCTCTTTTTTTGATCTATCTATCTAGCTATCTATCTATTTATCTATCTATCTATCTATCTATTTATCTATATGTCTATCTATCTATCTATTTATCTATCTATCTATCTATGTTAATCTTAACGTTATTTCTTTCTCTCTCTGTCTGGCACACTCTCTCGATCAACGAGAACTACATCGATTTGGAATGAAAAAGGGGGTCACGGGTAGCGTGTTGCCGTGTTTCCGATATCCTCGAAGAAAGAGTAGCAAAGAAGGAGCGTGTAAGGGTCTTTGAAAGCTCGTGTTTTGTTTTCGTTCCCTTCTAAACGGCACGGGAGTACATCGATTTGAGGGTAAAGGGAGAAAACGGGTCACTGGGCTGCCACCACACGGCTCGACTCGACTCGATTCGACTCGGCTCGACTCAACTCGACTCGGCTCGAATCAACTCGCTCGATTTCTCTATCCTTTTTTTCGCGATTTTCGCTTCGTTTATCCCTACTTCGATTATATCCGCTTCCTTATCTTCCAATAGGACAGACAGCGAGGTCAACGGCTTCCTTGTTTGCCTCCTTCTTTACTTGTTTGATCTAGTCCTCAATCTTCCTAACTTTTTCAATCTTTCCCTTTAACTTTTCTAAAATCCCTTATAGAAAGTGGGATAATAATAATAGAAAAAAATCATTCTTATCCTTGCTTACGAATCGTAAGGATACTAATACTCCAACTTGGGACGTAGCACAATGATCAAACTTTCTTAACAAATGGTCTATTAATCTTGTAAAGAACACTCCATATAATATATATTTGTATTTTCTTCTTAATATTTGATCTATCCTCTCTTCCTTCTTTTTCCTTACACTCCTTCCGTTCCCCGTTCCGTTCCGTTCCGCTTAATTCCGCCGTTCGGCTTGATTCCGTTCCGTTTCGTATCGTTCCGTTCCCGTTTTAAATCCGAGTCCTATAACTCACTGCTAATTTCCACCAAAAAAGCGGGTAAATTAAAAAAGTCAAGTGTGTCAAGGGAAGCGACAAGCAGGGGAATGAGAGTCAAGAAAATTGGAGAGAATATTATTCAATTCGTATAAAAGAGAATAAATGAGGGAGATTGTAATAAAGAAAGATAGATAGATAGATAGAGAGAGAGAGAGAGAGAGAGAGAGGAAGGAAGAAAAATAGATAACCAAAAAAGGTCTCGGAAGCGCTTCACGTGGCAGCCGACACGATGATGGCGCTATCCACTGCGAGCGAGCCCTCTCCGCAGTGACCGCGACACCCACACACACTCGAGATATATCGCGCTCCTCTCCCGGATCGTTCCACACCCATGAGAAAATTGCTTCCTCGAGCGAGCCTAATCCGTTACCTCGCCAGTACTACTGTAATCAATTTCTTCTTCTTCTTTTCTTACTTCTTCTTATAATCCTCAACTTATTATCTCTTTTTCTTCGATTTGATAACGAAGTATTCTGTTGTTATTTATTATTTTCCTAAGGATAACATGTAGACTCCAAATTTGATCAGGTTCGAGATTAAACACTCACAATTCTCAGAATCTCGTTGAAGCAGCAGCACAGATTTGGATAACACGCGAATAGACAATCACAACTCGTTGAAAATAAAATCCAACTAATTCCCGATGTAATATAATAGTAGTCAGGGTGATAGGAATCCAAGTATAGGAAAAATAGTAGTCAAAGCTTAGCGATACGTTCCTTTCCTCGTTTGCTTGCTAAACTCTTCTTCTTCTTCTTCTTCTTCTTCTTCTTCTTTTACCCTTCTATCTTACTTTTTTTTTTTTTATTAATTTCCTTACTTCTTATTTCTCCCACGATTTTGTTGTTTATAATGTTATATTTGAATATCGTGATTATTATATTGCGACGATGATGATAACGATGATAATGATTATTTTTATTATTATTATTATTATTATTAATTATTATTATTATTATTAATTATTATTATTATTATTATTATTAGTTAGTTGGAAACGCGCGACGACGACGACCCTTCGAATGCGCTTCCCTCGACGGCCACGATTATATCCGTCGACTCGACTCGCGATTGGTACTACTCTCGCTGACGATACGGTGTCCTTCTCTCCCTTTCTCCCACTACTCGACTCTCTATCTCTCTATCTCCTTCTCTCTCATCCCTTTCTGTCCCTCTAGTTTCTCCCTCCCACGTACCACCGCACCTTTAGACGCCCCTCCCTGCAACGATACGAACGATCCCGATGAGAGCCGATCCCGACAGGTGACTTTTAATTTACCACCACACTAACGATCTTATTATATTACTTATTAGTTTCTTCCCAGGACTTTTCTTGATGGTTAGAAAAAAAAAATATATATATATATATATTTATCTTTATTTTCAGTTCTATGATAAAAAAAAAAACATCTTTTTTTTGGTATCTAACTTTGGATTTAATCGTATATATATATATATATGTATATATATTTATATATAATAATAAACTGTGTATGAAAGAAGGAAAAAAATAGAGATAAAGAAAGAGAGAAAGAAAGAGAGAGAGAGTGAGAGAGGGATGGAAAGAGAGAAAGAGAAAATACGTTTTACCGGGGAGAGAAGAGGGTGTGCTTTGTCGCACTTGCGTGCGAACGCGGTTGCGCGAGGAACGAACAAACGAACGTCTCTCGTCCACCACCAGCAAACTCCTACCACCTTTCTGACCGCTCCCACCTGACCACCAAACCCCCACCACTCCTACTATCGGCTTACCACTACCACCAATATAACGAACACCGGCTACCCCCAACGAATTCTGAACAAATGTGTGTGACGAATCTAACGATATGTGTTAGTACTATGATAGTATAGTGGTGTGGTTGTGATGGTGGGATAGTGGGGATTTCCCTAGGAGGGGTGGGAAGACGTAGGAAAGGGCGCTTGTCACCCCGAGGCATGTCACCCCCTCTCTCATTCTATCTCTTTTTAGCCACCCCTTACGCCGGTCCACAAACCTTGCAATCGCTAGATGATCGAAAACTTTCTTCTTCTTCTTATTATTATTATTATTCTTGATTTTTTTTTATATTTTCTTTTCTTTTTCTTTTTATTTCATTATTAGATCGTTTTGTAATTTATTTTTCCCCTAGATCAAATATAAATTCTAACAAATGATGATAAAAGAAGAAAAAAGGAAATTCAAAAAATGAGTCATCTAGCTTTAATAAATAATGGGATGCGGTGTAAGGTACGCGCCAATCGCGAAAAGAGATCGTTCTTACGTCGCGGTCTACTCGCGATTATTGATCGATTCATCAGCCAATCGAACGAGCCGCTCGCGATAGCGCTGTTTTTTACTACCCCTTTTGCGCGCTAAATTCAATCATCTTTTACCACTTGACTTCTTCTTCTTCTTTTCCTTCTTCTTTTTTTTATATATATATATTTATACATACACTTTCAAATATAAGTTTTAATTAATATTAAATTAGATGTGTTTAATATTAATGAAACGAATAATAATAATAATAATAATTCGTATTAAAAGTTACAGCATAGATTTATATCTATATAAACATCTATTTTACATGCAGTCTTTACAAAAAGAACAACTTAGATATTCGATTCATAATATTCTACATTTTGTTTGAATTTAATGGGCTTTCTTGGTCGTTTCCGTTCTGTTAAATTCACGATGGAACTTTTGATAAATGTATTCGACGTTCATTGTCCCTTTACTGCGTTCTTTGATATGCAAATAAATGTGAACTGTGTTAATTGAAGACATTGTTGGATTAGAGTTGTTCTAATTCTTGTTCCGAATAATATCCTATTATTTGACGATAGTCCTCTCAGCGAGTCAAATATATAATTAATTGCACTTACATTTCCTTTGAAACATCTCAGTTCTATTTGTATATTTTATATGATCATATAATAAAATGTATATGTTTACGTGTATATATGTGTGGGTTTATAACGTTTTAAAATTATTCCTGCCTCGTAACACACATACATGACGAAGTATATTTTGCTTAATGGACTCTGATTACATGGATGATCACGCGTTATTTGCATTTAGTATATTTATACCAATTTACACTTTGTGTATATACGCGTGATGTATATGAAACATATTTTAAATAACAAGTAAAAAGGTGTTATGTGCTTTAAAATATCTATATAAATGAAAAATGGATTCAACTTTAGTTAAAAACCAATATACAATTTACGTCTAATAAATGCAGGTACCGTCGTTATATTAAACCAAACGTATATATATATATATATATATATATATATATATATATATAATGTATTACTATAAAAATCCGCGTATATTTTACATTGTACAAGATATCTGACATTTTTCTAACCATTTTCAACGTATTTTATACAACGACAATTAAAAAAAAAAAAAAAATGTTATACGAACAGGGTCATTTTTAGCTGGTATCATTGGCCCGGAAAATCTCAGACACCTTGTATATTCATTTATAAATTTCCTAATAATCAATAAGCTACGATTAAATTGTTCGTTAACAATTTGCATGCCCAATACAGGCAATAATAAATCCATTTAGAAACAAAATTAATTCAATGTCTGACGTGATCCAAATTTTGATCATGTATATATATTATCACATATAAAGATATTTAAAAAAAAGACACACATCTATAATAATTCTGAATATATTAAACAGTCTTTTCTATCGATTTGGTAAACAAACAAATTTAAAATAAAATTTTTCTTTTTTCTCACTCACAACTTTTCTAAAGAAAAGTAATTTTAAACAACAAAATTCAAATATATTCATTAATGTAATGTGTAATGAATGATATATGACTATGCGTGTTGTACGTGTATATCTACAGAAGCTTTTAAAATGATATTCCAAAATTCTATTATATAAATTTAAAACATTTTTGTTTATCGTGAGGTATTCTTGTTTTAAACAATATTGAATCAGCACGATATTGTGTATTTAAAAGTGGCATGTATCCAAATACCTAAAAGATATCAAAATATAATGATACAAAATTAAAATAATGTTTGTTCTAATATTTTAAGAAAACATTTACCTGAGAAAAGAAATTAATGCACTTGTGTCTTTCTTGAAAATGTGTATCATCTTCCGACAGTGAAACAGGACAACCAGGACACCTAAACGTCCATCGAGATGTTACCTGAATCAAAAATAAAATTTATAAAATAAAGTTTTACCCCCTTTTTTTTTTTGTATTAGAAAAATAATTTGTTTATTGTTTTACCTTAACAGGTGGTTTCCTAGTAATATGAGATATTAAAAAGTTCATAGCTATATCTTCACAGTTCATATACTCGTCGACCTTATCTCGTATTGCTTGTGGCAACCAATACGTATACAAATATGTATAATGTTTGTGTATAAAAGCAGCACCTGTTAAAACCATTGACAATTCGCAAGAATAATTGGAATTGTAATTCCATGCATTATGGAAATTTGGATCCCATGCATGAAATCTACCAGGAAAGCCAACAACTCGATCCCTGTGTTCTCTCCACACCCTAAAAAAAAAAATAAAAATAATAATATAAAATATAATTTATTTTTAAATAAATAAATGACGTACCTAAAACCAAACATAATTTCATCATGTCTGAGATGAGCATCATCGTCAATGGATAAAACAGCTTCAGTTTCAATCGCATCAAATGGAAGAAATCTATTGTTTAAACTATTTCTTGAAGCTTTGATTACCTGTGTTTCAAATAAATAGAAAATTTACGGTAATAAATAGATGTTTTTAAAACTTGTAGTAAATGATATTAAAACTTACATGTATAGGAACTCCAATATCTGGCCATTTCAAATCTTCTACGGGTGGTTTAGGACTATTCCATACGACAAGAACTTTATTCAAGTATGGCAAACCATAAAGTCTCGCTAATGAATTAATTAAAACTTGTTCTCTTTCGTAAGTGAGCATAACTATAGTAAATTGTTCCCTAGGATAATTTCCACCTAAAGCTTCGCTAAATTCTTTACCTGCACCACCAGAACCTTTGCCGATCGGTCTAAATCCCGTATCAGATCCTATCATTTAAAGATAATAAAATTGTTATTTCAAAACATTTGAATAACCATCTTTAAGGTTTATTTTATTCACCCAAGAATTTGGCATCACTAGGTAATATCGTGTCGAATGGTAATTGCGGATAAAGATTGAAAGGATTCATCCAATCGTTCCAAATTTCATGGCCTTGTATTAACATTGTTGTATAATTTCTTTTAAAAGAAGGTGAGGCATATGGTGGTTCTAAAGGACCCAAACTTTCTTCTGCTTCTGGTTCAGCTATTGTAGTATCAGCTTTTAAAGGCTTTGGAATAGAAGACAAAAAATATAATAGATTAATACAATGAAAAAAAAAAAAATTAATTAATAAAATAAATGATGTTTTTTTACCACAAAGCTTTCATTAAAGACACTTGGACTAGCAGCTTGCGGTGCAGGTAACGGAGGTATACCGAGTCTGTCTCTAACAGTTGCGATAATAGAATCTACAACAGCTTGAGCGGTGCTTAAATAATGTTCCCATATTAATCTACCTTGTCTGCGCATTGTTAATAAATCGCTGTCTGGTATAGCACGCAAGAAAAAGTGCATTTCCGTTACTCTAGCCTGTGTAAAATAATTTGCTACTTATTAATTTAATTAAAAAAAAAACAAAAAAACAAAAAACAAAAAGAGGAAGAATATTTATAATTCCTATTTTTATTATATTCTTACTTTGGGTAAAAAAATAATTGCTTTACGCCAAGCAATGACTTCGTTATAACTAAGTAAAATTTGATCACCACCTAAAATAACTGGTATTGCTCCAGATCTTAAGGCTTCGTATAATCGTGCCTGTATAGAAGACGTGGTTATCAAAGAAGAGTCGGTTGGTGCTAAAATCAAAGCAAATGTAGATTCCTTTAATATAGATCTTCTTGAAGAATCAGTTCCACAGAGAGACCAATCAAGCACTTCAACGGTTTTCCTTTCTTCCGATGCTGGTATACATTCAAATTGGATGAAAAATTTATCCAGAGTAGTTCCACTACTCATATCCTTTAAATGTTGTATAATAAAGGTATCTAAATTATTTTCATCCATATTCAATTTTTCCAAGTCTACTTCTGTATCGTTATTCTGAATGAATGTAGTAAAAGGACTCTTGAAACCTTTCATCTCTCCTTGAAATGATAATAAATATTTTCTCCTTGCAGGTAACATCTGCGCACAATCTTGCCAAACATCACCACCAGGTGGACCCAAAATTGGAGGAATGATTAAATCAAAACCTTCGCGAAATTGATTTCTATAAAAAGTTGATTGGACTATTATGGCCCTGCTGGTATTTTTTTTAACAGAAATACTTCCAGAATTAACCGATAAATCTCTACGTGCAAGATTTAACAATATATGGTTTCTACCATCCCCTCCCCAATATGGAAGATCATATAATTTATTAACATCCATTGCTCTCCAAAATTTGGGATAACCTTTTGATTGCATTGACAACGCTTCTCCAATTAAAACCACATAAATACATGCTTCTGCAGGATTTCTTGTAAGATGCGGATTGTAACCTAATAAAGGAAAATACATGAATCAAAATATATATATATAAGGTAGACAAATATAATATTATTTACCTAAAGTCTGTTTAATAGTTGTCTTTAAAAAACCATCAACATCCCATCCTGCGTTGACTACAGAAAATTGATCAGGATCATACAAATATACTGGAAAACCACTGGTCAATGCACATCGACTGTGATCAAAACAATTATACATTCTACATGATCTTGGATCGGTACTAGCTAATGTTTCAGGAATAACTGTTCTTAATATTCTTTTGGGTGGTGCTAATTCAGGTGTATTTCTTTCAACAGCTTCTCTTTGTGCTACTTGCGCTTGTTCTACACTAATCTTTAGTCTATCGAGATCTCTTTGTTGATGCAACAAATCTTGTCTCAAACCTTCTATTCTTTGCGTCAAACCAGTAAATTCAACTTGTAGCCTATGTCTTTTGGCACCCAATTCTCTGAGTTCATTAGTTACTGATGCTTTGATGCGTAACAGCTCTTCTATTCTCATTTTTAATTCTGATGCCTTCATAGAAGTAAATTCTTCAAAAACTTCTAACGAAGAATACGTACGATAAATATCTGCATCTGAAGAAACAGATTCTACCTAAAAAAAAAAAAAACAAAGAAATACAAATAAAAACCATGTATACGTTAACACATGTAAATAATATAATAATAAATGTTAAAACATTAATGAATATAAAATACCTCTGATAAATAATAATGTGTAAGTAATGGCACAATAAAAAGAATTGTGCAAGCTAATATTATAATTTTGGATAGTTTGATTTGTGCTATCCAGTTAAAAAAATCCCTTCCTGAACCATTTTGATGAGATGGTACATTAATGGTTGTGTTCAATGTTTTTTCCAACATCCTGAATTTATGTTGATATAAACTTTTGTTCATAATTGTTTAAATATCACTGTTGTACAAATGTTATGCATTATCCTTATATATACCTGTTGGGATAAAAAATAATACAAGTATAAAATACACATAAATCACAATCATTATTATTTAAGAAAAGAAACACAAATATACTTACCTAATATCACTAAATTGAGATTCTAAAAGTGTGGTCACGTGTGGAATATCATTATCTTATTCATAATAGAAAAAATTGACGAATATTAAATGACAATCATTAACATTGTCATCCAAGTCCACTTAACAATATCATAGCTCCTCAAAATATTCATAGTATCATTAAGCTAATTAAACATAGATATAGATAAATATTATCTTTATGAAATTTTTTCATAATTTATATTTTTAGAAAAAATATCACTGTATATATTATTGTATATATTATATACTTTAAGTAATGAGAAAGAAAAAGAAAGAAAGAGAATATTAGACAAAAATTAAAAGAAACTTATTGAACTTATTGATCTTGTAATGTCAATTAAAATCTGATGAGATAAGCACTACAAATTTTTAGGAAACATGTTTACACATCACTTTAAATAGTATAGGGTAATATGCAGAAACTTACTGTACAGTAGTTGTTCCTTTATGGATTATATGTGACATATACATGTATATAAGAGTATCTGTATGTGATCACTACTATAAAACTCGTTAGAGCATGAATTACGTATGATATATCAAGAGAGAAGGAAACAAGTAACAAATACGAATTTACTTAACCTCATACAGCTATTGTCACGTGATCATTGTTACTATACATACTATCCTAACCAAAATAAATATATACATTTAAATAACCTTTTACTAATTTTATAGTAAATGGTTATTTAAATGTATATATTTATTTAACACTTAATTAAAACTAAATATATAACCGTATTGAATGGAAGGATTGATGAGCGAAAAAAGATGGCGAATTTTCAAACGCCAATAAATTTCGCGCCACTTACACACAACCAAAAAATGTTTTCGCAATAACATCAAATGGCATCAAAAAATAAATATTTAAATAAACAAATATTTAAACGGTAATAATGTGTTATATACCCATTAACAATATTGTTTTTCTTGTATGTAATTTAAAAAAATAATAATCGTATCGAACAGAAAGCTTGATGAACGAAAAGTAAAATGGCGAATTTTCAAATGCTAATAAATTTCCCGCTGTTCTCGAATTACTAAAAAATATTTTGCCAGTAACGTCGGATGGCTCTGTTAACATAACGCATTATATATATTTTCAGAACGGTACAGGGGTTTTTCTTCATATTCTCCACAAAATATGCGCATGTTCATGTCAAGTATAGTGCGAAAGGAATAATATTTTGGCTTTCGGGGGCCTAAAATTAGCTAAAATGGTAAGCCTTGAAACGATTCTTCAATGCTTATTAGAATTAATAGAATATTCATAAATAATTTGTTATGAACTTTATATAGTTAATTATCTAACAATTTATCTATTCTCTTTAGTTTAAAAAGAAAATAACCTATTTCTAATCGATGTCAATAATAATTTTGGTTCATAATGAAATATAAGAATCCAATGTACAATTTACAATAAGATGATAAATTCTTAATTTGATCTTTTTCTTCTTTTAATGTTTAAGAAAATATTTCTAATTTGATGTATTTTTATCTTATATGTATATGTTGGAAATTTTGTTAAGTCAGCATTTCTAAAAGAACATTTTTATTATTTATATAAGTTTATGAGAAAAATAATGTTTATATATCTATTGAATTGAAGTATTGTTTGACACGATGAACTAATTTCTAAACTCGTTCTACAATCTATGTCATTTAACTGTGTATGTGTGTATGAAATATTTTTGTTGTTTTTAAAATGATCATTCATGCTCTACTTAAAAGTTATAATGTCGTTATTTTCATTGCAGCATAGATTAAAATTTTCACAAAGAGACAAAGTCAAGAAATTCATAACATTTACACAAACTGGTGAACAAACTGCTATTTATTGTTTAACGCAGAACGATTGGAAATTAGACCTGGCAAGCGATAATTATTTTCAAAATCCTGAAGCTTATTACAAGGAACCGAAAAATTCGGTAGATAAAAAGAAATTAGAGATATTGTTTAGTAGATATCAAGGTAATATATTATTGATTGTTTTCTCTTTTAATAACTCATATGTATTGGCTTGTAAAAGGATCATTTATTTATATACACCCTTGTTTGTTTTATTTATTTTGACAGATCCAAATGAACCGGATAAAATAACTGCAGATGGTATAATGAAATTTTTGGATGATTTAGGATTAAGTCCAGAAAGCAGATTAGTTTTAATTATCGCATGGAAATTCAGAGCGGAAACTCAATGTGAATTTACCAAGGATGAGTTTATGAACGGCATGGTGGATTTAGGGTATAAATCAAATTCATTTAATTTTAATTATAATCCATTTGTGATCTATCAATTATAATAAATCTATAAACTCTTAGTAATTAAACTATCATTCTAAAATAAACTTGTGAATATTTTTTTTTGATTTTCAGAGTGGACAGTATAGATAAATTAAAAGCACGGTTTAATAGTTTAGAGAATGAAATAAGAGATTCGCAAAAGTTTAAAGATTTTTATCAGTTTACATTTAACTATGCTAAAAATCCAGGACAGAAGGGCTTGGACCTTGACATGGCAATTGCTTATTGGAATATTGTCTTGGATGATAAATTTAAATATCTAGAATTATGGTGTCAATTTCTTCAAGTAAGGCACATTATCTTTTATTACAAAATATTCGTTTAAAATAGTAAGTTTAATGTATTGTGTGATATATTTAACCGTTTGAGTCCCAAACAGCACAATTGTGCTGTTCAGATTTCATGTTGGAAAGTACCACATTACTGAAATACAATATGTAATTGTTACATGGTCGAAATGCTTGGCATTCATTGAAATGATTTTTTTTTTTTAAATCACTGGGACTCTAATGGTCAAGAAAAGAAATACAATGTGTTAATAATTTACACAGAGATGTTGTTGCAGGAACATCATAAGCGATCGATTCCAAAGGATACATGGAATTTACTATTAGATTTTGCGCTTATGATTAATCCTGACATGAGTAATTATGACGAAGAAGGAGCATGGCCAGTATTGATTGATGATTTCGTAGAATGGGCACAACCTCGAGTTCGTCAGTCTCTCTAACATCCTTTCGATATAACTTCTTCCGATATAAAGAGCTTTATTTATTTGATTACACAGGCAAATAATATTAAAATAATATTTGAGTATATAATATATATCCTTGATAAAACATGACATTACTTTTGTATAGTATATATCTATGATTTTAAAGAGACAGAAATCGAGTACGTTAATTAACGTATACTGCTGCAAGCTTTAACGTGAATTATTAAATTTTAAGTTTCTTATATAACTTATTTCAAAACGCATTAATTGATTTATTGAAAAAAAAAAGAAAAAAAAAACAACAAAGAATCAGAGATACAAAGATATTTTTCTATATCATTTTGTATAGAATACGCATTCTAGATTATATCAAATTTTGGTATATTTTATTTGTGCTCTACATATCGTTGTTCTCTCAATTAAATAACGTGAAGTAGATTGAAAAAAAAAAGAAGCTTTTAATTGTTAATATACTGTACAAAGTAATATGTTTATCTAGGATCACTGATAGCATTAAGTGATGACGAGACTCAATTACCAAAGGTATTTGCAAGTATATTTCTGAATATAAATTGGTGTGTTCCTTTAGGAAGGGAATCGGGCTTAAAAAGCAACAAATTATAAGAGAGAGTCTAGTTAATTGTTTTCTGTAGATAGTATTTGCTAGATATTGCGTTGTTGAGAATTGTTATCAAATGGAACAGCTATACTTCTATGCTATTCTTGTAATTATATACACGCGAATAACAAAAAAACAAAACAAAAAAAAAACAGAAAAAAGCACACACAAAGAGAGAAAAAAAATGTGTATTGTGAACAAAAATATCTTGGCACAGTTATACTTATATACATTGAATTTTTCCTATCCAATAATTTTGGAACGACATAGAACATGTAAAAGAAAACAAAAAAAAGAAGAAGAAATTTAGACTACATATAGAAATTTAGTTATCTTTTTATTTAAAGATATATTTAAAAAAAAAAAAAGAAAAATTTGTGATCATTAATTAATAGATTTTGATTTATCGTTCTATTTAAATATAATATATTTAATATAGATGAGTTTTTACAAACTTAATGTTGTATGTATAAATTGGATAATGATTGTAACTATTTTCAACTTTATCTGATATAAGAAAAATTATTCAGAGCATATATATATTATATATATATGATTAAGAAGAATTATAATAAAGTAATATATTTAAAGCAACTTCGCAATGAAGAAAAGGTGGTGCGATTATAGAAGTTAATCAAATTTGAAATATCTCGCGTCGTCCACAATTTCAGATTTTTCAGATATATTTTATAAAGCTACTTAGTTAGATGGAAAGAAAGAAAGAAAGAAAGAAAAAAAAAACATAAATTTCAAATATACATGTGTAATTATTGTAAGAAAAAAATCTAATTATATTATAATTAGAATGAAATTTGCACAGAGCTAAAAAAAAAAAAGAACAGTTTCATGGAAATATGTATATTGCATGATATTCGTATAAAATGCATAACACTACTAAAAAATTAATTTTGAAGATGCCCAATAATTACTTTTTTAGTAGTCTCATGATTATATTATATAGATTGACATGATTGATTAATACTAATAATCTAAGAATTTTAAGGACAAAAGATAAATAAAATAAAAGAAAGAAAAAAATATAAAAAAAAGGAAGAAGAAGAATGTAAATATTGTAAATAAATATCAATCTCTTAAATCTATTTTATTTTAGTTTATCTCATCCGATTAAAATAAAGAATTTTCAGTAATCGCTAATATGAGATTTATTTGATATATCACTTCCTCTTTTGGTAGATAGAAAATAGTTTTCAATAAATAAATAAATTATGATCTTTCTGTGTGCGTGCGTATTTTATGTACATGTATAATTTTGCGTATCAAATGATTTTCTTTTGGTTTTTTTTTTTTCTCTATCATGTAAAATAATTATTCTTCAAAACAACTGTTACACTTGCATACATTTTCTGGATATAAAAAAGCCAATTCATATTGATAGGATTGCATATTGTAACAATTATTCACGATTTCATGATTATACCAATCGCACAAAGATTCCAATTTATCGATCGATGTCTGTGTGAATTTACAAGTGCATATTACTTCGTTGTTAAAAGTTAAATTCATTTTGAAACTTGTGTAAGAATTATTTCTTACCTGCGCGACGACTAATCCACGATTAGGATGTTTTACAGTACTATGTCCATGAGAATCAAATAAAATAACCTGAGAATAAAAAGTTACATAATATTGATGATGATGATTAAACAATGAAAATATATAAAAGTTCATACCTTGTATGTTATTTCTTGAAATATGAAAAGTACTGTACGACCACATGTTATAAGCAACATGAATAAATTAGTTGACAGAGGGTCTTTATACCAATCAATTAAAAAGCTTTTTATGTTTGTATATAAACTTGTTTCAATTTTTTCATGAAAAACATGAAATTTCTGTTCGATAAAAAAAAAAAGAAAAATCAATTTTTGTCAAAATAACTTTACTTTTGTTTAAGTAAGAAAATAAATATAAGCGCTGATATAAATAAATAAAGAAATAAATCAGAAGATTAGATTGCTTCTATTTTAAATAAATATATTTGTTATACCCATTCTTTTAACATAGTTAGACTTCTGCCACCATATTTTAAAGCCTCTTCTGTATTGAGATACGGATGAGGAATAAGTTTTTGACTTATGATCCATGCATGCGTTGCATTACCCTCTACCATTGCTTCGGCCATAATAACGGATAATTCTGGACAAGTATCTACATTGTTAATTAATATGTTCCCTTGAGATACACGTTGTGCCACAAGAAGACATATCAATGTACATGCTTCGCTTACTGTTAAGTATAAGTATTATTTTTATTAAATAATTTATATTTTTCTCTTTATATATTAATGTTTATATGTGAAATATAAAATAATGATTGTTATTACTTCCTTGTCCCGGTGGATAACGACTCTGCGAAAATTCAGGATGGTACCAATACAAGTTGACTTCATTGTTATAAGTATCTTTTACAAATGTAGGAAAATAATGGCTAAATAATGGTGGCAGAGTCATAACTTTTATAAAACTATTCTTTCCATTAATTTAGCGTCCGAAAGCATTTTTTTTGTAAGACTTAAATTTAATATTTTTTAATGAGAAATTTAGGATTTTTAGGCATTTTGATAACTAGACATAATGAAGTTAGTTAAATGATACATTCAGATTGTTTCGTGAAAAACAATGACGGTAAATATACTTATCAAAATAAAAATAAAAATTACATAATATTAGATTTTAAGCATATGTAACTGTACTTCATAAAAAAATTCTTATTTATATATAAACATGTATATGTTATTGTTAAAGGTAATTTAAAGAAAGGCAATGCATGCCGTGTAGAAGTAAAGAGAAAATTTAAGATGCGCGCGCAGAAGTAAAGAGAAAATGTAAGGTGCGCGCGCACAACTGACATGCGCAGAAGAGACAAGATAAGGTGCGTGCGCTCAATGACATGCGTAGAAGAGAAATGAGGTGCGCGCGCATAATGACATGCGCAGAAGAGAAAAAACGATGATTTTAGTTCAGTTTAGTGGTTATCTCGGATGTGTCCTTATCTAGTGTGTTTACAATACGTTCTTGTAAGTAGAGATTAAAGTTTGTGGTTAGTGTGATGTCATTTATTTAATTTAATTAATCAAAATCGACGCTCTTAATTAATCTAATTAATTGTAATATTAAAATTATCAAAATAAGTAAATTTATTTTATACGAAATTTAGATTTTCATTATTACTTTTATTTATCTGGATAATCCAGTTATTTCATAAAAATGGTACAATTTTTCTCAAAGAAACATTCGAGTTATTATATTTCAAATACTTGTCATCTATTTATATCAGAAAGAAAAGAAGAGAGGGTGAGTAAGTAACATTTATAATTACTATATGTCATATAATTCTGATAAAGAAAAACCTTATATTAATCTTTTGTATTTTTTTGTTTATACTATAAACTCCTCTCCTCTTTTTATTTATTTTTAATCATATTTTTATATTCTATAGTGGACATTTTCATGACCGATTCATTATAACATATTTATCAATACATTAATTTATCATAATAAATAATAAAATATAAGTCAAAAAAGATTCCAGCAAATAATATTTGTTATACTTTTGCAATGACAATTTAACTATTTGAATTTATGCAATATCCATCTAAAATGACATTAAATAAAACCAAAAAATATTACGTATCGTTATATCATATAAATAAACTATTTGAGCTTTGCAATGGTATAATGAAATGTTTTTATTTTAAGAAATAATATATAATAAGTTAGATTTCTGTAAATAATTATATTAAATTACATTGTCGTGTTTGTCTTATTTTTTATTTTTTTTTTATTTTTATTCTTCTTTTTTTTTTCTTTTCATAAAATAAAGTCTGTACTTTACGTTATATAGTCTGAATTAATTAATGCAATTTTTCAATCATTCAGCTACCAATATGACGTAATAAGTGCCTTTAAAATGCAGTCTCAAAGTATATAATTGTTTCCAACGTTGAACGTATTGAGTCCACTTTATATTATATCGCAATAAAAATTTATATTTATTTATTTATTTATTTATTTATTTTTTTTTTAAATATAATCAAATATTTTGCTAAGATCTTCTCTCACGCATAAAATTTAATTTTATAATATTAATTAACATTAATAAGAAAAATGTTTGATATATATATAATTATTGCTATATTATATTCGTATAAGCAGAAAAATGATTTATAGTTAGTTTTTGACAGCTTGCGTTTATTATATACGTTGGTATGAATAAGACTCATATTTTTTTTATTATTTTTTTTTTTTATATATAAGAGTTTAGTGTATTTTAATTATTTCTCTAAATCATTATTAATATTATTATTAATATTATTATTATTTTTGTTTGTTTTCTTTTTTGTCTATGAATAAAATAATATTTTTCTAAATGTATTTTACATTTGTATGACACAATAATGCCATATATCTCATTATAGTGCGATTAAAAACTCTTCTAGAGAATTTGTTTTCTCTTATTACGATGTTAGTCAACAATTGTGTTAAATCTGAAAAGAATTCACGATTTGTTCGTCAATATCCTAAAAAGAAAGATTTGTCATATATTAAAATATATGAAATCTTGAGAAAATTGTAATATACGTATCTACGTATCTTAAAATATTTTGTAAAAAAAAATGATCCTTTTACCGTAATATATTATTATAATATTTAATGTTACTCACTATTGATCAAAATGTCCTATATGTTGTTGGATAACGCGTTGGTATGCTTGTGATTAGATGACGGGACCAATAATTCCAGCCCAAAACCCTTGTGATTTCTATACACTTTTCATCTATTTCTTTGAGTGGTTTCTCTTCGTAGAAACGTGTCAGTAATTTCAAATAACGTCCATAATGATTGTTAATATGTGCATGCCACAATGATAATATAAGCACCTAAATAAAAATAGAGAATAACAATATTATTCAACCCTTTATACTATGATGTAATGTACAGAACTTCATGCCACATATGATACTTCTTATAATGAACCTATAAAATTCATTACAAATAAGATACATGTTTCTTATATTACAATGCAAAGTAAGCTTTTAATTTATTATAAAAGAAAATGTTACCTTGGTGTCAGTTGGTTCTGCAAATTTCTGTACTTCTTGCCAAATGTTTGTAACACCTACAAGTAAATGCTCAAGAGGACCATTAACTTCGCCTTGACTTTTACCATGAACATATAGTCGTGCCAATGCACAACCCTTCTTCACTAATGCTTCTATTAATATATTCTTTTGTTTATCCATAGTTGCTTTTATTTTGGCAGCATCAGGTCGTTGATCAGTCTTTAGGCCATAATAGGCTAATAATTTATCCTGATCAATATTTGTAATAACAATATCAGCAACGGCTAGTATTTGATTGGCAAGAGCAATCGAAACTTCTGATATATCATCATGAGGTAGATGACGACGTGCTTCAGGTGAATCCAAGGATGTCAACATGGCAGTGTGTATAGGCAAATGATCAGAGAATATGTTCTTCAATTCTCCATACAATAAGTTTGCATATTCACCTGGTTCTGTATTATAAAAAAATATTTATATGATAAACATTCAAAAAAAAAAAACAATTAAACACATGTAATTAATATTAGATACATTATATAAAATAACATTTAATTAATTCATTTCTTTTTATTTTATTTTTTTTATTTTTTATATCTGCAATATATATATATATGTGAAATAATTATTAACAAATTAAGAATAAAAAAATATTAAAATTCACTTTTTTAAACAAATATAATATATGAAATTAAGGAAATAAACATATATAAATAATAATAGGACTTTATATAACTCAACTCAATTCAATTCAACTCAACATGCAAAAAATGTGTTTGTAAAATGAGAATGTAACCATTTATATCATAGGTTATTTAAATACGACAGGAATTGAAAATTAAATTTCAAAAAGAACATACCACAATATATTGTAATAACTTACTTATGGATGGTGCTATATGAAGAATGAAAACCGAGAAAACAAATATAAATGTCGATGAATGATATAAGAACATAACCGACGACTATTATAAAAAGCTAATATTTATACAATTGTATATCATGTAAAAAAAAAAAAAAACCAAAAAATTATGAAATTACCAAGTTTTGCAAGCCATGTGCATTTTAAATCTCGTAATGCTTCGGTATATTCATCCCATTTAGTAGTTTTTTCCTTGTCTGATTTAGACGTACAATTATTTTGTTTTTTGGTTGGTTCAGACAATACGTATTTAAATGTATGAGTATCTACTTTCTTATCGTTCTCATCTTTACAAAGTGTAATTGTACCTTGTAAATAACTACCAAGAGTAGCACCTTTGGATAGCCTTGAAAAAAAAAACACACACACACAAGAAATATTATTTCAATATAAATATTATAAAATTATTTTATATAAATTATTATAGTATACCATAGATAAATACCAAGCAAGAAATCAACAAAGCAAATGTATTGAAAAGCTTTAGGATAAAAAGCACGTGTAGGAAAATATGATAGAAAAATGCAGAAAGCAATTGATGAAATATTTTGTTATATACTATCATCAAAAGATTTGATATTAATGTAAGCTTCTCGTTAAGATATTTTTCTTTTTATCAAACTGATAATATTTTTCCTTATCAAATTTCTGAGATCAAAATTTATATATATATATATATATATATATAAAAAACTCTTTTACATGTGTTTAAACAAATTTATACTCAATCGGTTACGACGATATCGACAAACAGTTATATGTTTTTTTATTTTTTTATTTCATGTGTATTTAACTGTTCAAACATGTTCGTGCAGCGAAACTATGTATTATGAGTCAGGGATATACAACAAGCGTTACTTGGCTATAAAAAATTGTTAAGCGATCAAATTGTTATTTATTTTAATAAGCTATTTGTTTTGTTGTTTTTTTTTTTTTTTTTAGTTTGTTCGCATATATCCTTAACTCGTTTTGAAGCGTAATGCCAATTTTGCGAAGAAGAAGAGTTAATTAAAATAAAAGATTATTAACTCACTTGTTTTCTGTGCTGCATTGAAAGATGAAAAAGAAGAAAGTTATATCTTAGTTTAATAACGTAAAATAATATTTTTTTTTTTTTAAAGAGAAACTCGATTTTTTTTTATATATATATATATCAAGTATCAAGATCGACTGTAAAGAAAACAAATTAGCAAAAACTAGGATTGTCAAAAAATGAATATTACATTCACTTATTCGAGAGAAAATTATCAGCCTGTACGTTTGAAAAAAAAAAAAAATTGATAATACGTGAAACAATAAATAAAAGTGATTATTTAAATAAATATTTGATCTCGGATACTTGATCTTGTTTTTTTTTCTTTTTTTTTTCTTGCTGTAGAATTTTTATAAAATATGTGTAGGTGTGTGTATACAGAATCTCATCGATGCAAACGTTTGCGTATAAATTTATGCATATATATATATAATGTAAAACCTTTTTATAATACGTAACGAGCTAGTCTCAATGATATTTTTTTTTTCTATTTTCTAATCGTCAACATTGCATAAGAAAAAAAAAAAAAAAAAGAAAAAATGAAAAAATTATAATTGCTTCGTACTTAACTATTACGTAAAAATGAATAGAATGTAAATACCTACTTGTTTTCGTTAGATATAGGTGCAACGTATAACGGGAAAATATGTCCAGGTGGAATAGATGCTGCAACCATTTTTTTTCCACCGATCAAAGCTTGAGTTTGACTAGCATAAACGTCAAGGGTTATTGGATTATTGAGTTTTTGACTCAAAAGCAATGGCATTTCTGTTAATCTGTCCAATAATTCTTTCTTTTCATGACGAACATGCATCTTAATTGTATAATCGCCTTTTTCCAATTTTTGAATGGTGTACTATAATCATAATAATATTTTTCTATATAATAGAATTTGTCTTTATATTTTAACACATTTATTAAACTTACCTTAGATGGGTATGCATCACCGCAAGCAATTAATTGTTTGTTGGAATCATAAATCATCCACATTTGACTTTCATATTCACTCTCATACAGCAAATCACTAAGCAACGCAGCATTGGGTGTAACTTCGGTTGCTTTTGCTGAATGGAATGTGTATGTTAATTGTAATTCATATATTTGTCTTGCAGGTGGAATAACGTCACGAGCTCGTAATGGAAGTATTTTAGAATCCGATGGTCTAAGATCACAGAGTTAAATATATAGTTACGGCAATGAAATATCATTGCACACACGTATAAACAACAATATTTATAATACACATGATTAGTAAATATATATATATATATATATAATGTCACACCATACTTTAAAATTTGTACAGATGATTTAAGTGTAACACATGGTACAACTTCTTCGATTCTCATTGAACTTCGTAGTTCTAAGCGATTAATACCATCGCCTGATTGCATCGTTAAGTTACCATTTATTATACGAAGACCATGAAACTCAATTGTGTAATCTATCGATACGTCCCCTAAATTTGCCCAATATTTAGCAAGTACAACTTCTACGATTAAACCACCCTAAAAATTAAAAAAACATATCAATATTGTTAATGCACTTAAGAAAATGGTCTCAATAAATTTAAGAAGCGTATTAATAATAGGATAAAAAAATAAATACATATATTCATAATACCTCAACAGCAAATGGTTGTACACATTCCGATTGGGGTGTAACTCCTATCATTTTGTTAAGTTCAAGCGTTTTACAAGCTAATCGTGGTTTCAATTGGATACTATGAAATATGAATCTACTATTTTTGTCCTTGTCTGTACTCTTTATCTTGAGGACTGTAATAGAAAGTTGAATGAACATCATTTTTTTTTTTTTTTTTTAATTGAGTTATCGCTATTATAATTTGAAATTTAATTTACCTGCCCACGTGGCATCTTCAGGAACGAGGATAAAATGACGCTGGATTGTATTTGATTTAAATAAAACATTTGTGTATGTTAGATCAGGGAGAAGGGCAGCTTTTGGCAGTACCATTGGTTGCACTACGGTGATAGGAATTTGGAACACTGGGCCTTTTGCAATATTGGTTACATCATAAGCTCTAATGCTGCAATTTTTATCATGCAAAATATAATATATAGTATATGTTTCATCAGATCAATATTTCATAATTATACATAATTTTATATATTTATTACCAAAAAAAAACAATAAGAAAGAAAAATGTATTATTTTCTCACCTTGCAGCATGAACACCTTCTGGCAAAGAAGAGCCATCAATATTAATTGCGAAAGAACGAGGCATATGCATAAGGTCAAGATGCGTTGGAAACTTGACCCAAGATGCCTCGCATACCAAGGTCAATTTTAAATTAAACTCAATCTTACGTTGTGGATCTATAAAATATCATTAACGTTAACAAAAATTGTGTAATTTAAATTAGATTAAAAAAAAAAAAAAATAAGTATGACAAAATTATACCAGTATTTTCGCTATCAAGAAATACTGGTTCAACGGTAACAGAATAATCTTTTGGACGATCAATAACCCCAATTCTCATGTGAATTCCTTTAGAATTATTTGTGCCACAATTGACTGCAAATCTGACATCTCTTTCTGGTGCATCATTATAAGTAACAAGATTATCAAAAGCACGTTCAACTTGTAATAAACCTGAACCTTGTGCAAATGGATCCAAATTTGATATGTATAAAGCAGTATTTTCAAGAGCCCTTTTTATACTGTACGGAGAATATGGGCAACCCTTAGCAAGAAGTCCAGATATAAGTAATGCTGTAATATATAGAAAAAAGAAATTTATTTATATATATAATTTTACATATTTATATAAAAAAAAAAAAAAAAACAATAAAAGTATATTTTAATTGTACATACCAATTGCACCAGTAACATGTGGACTAGCCATACTTGTACCATTCATAAGTTGACTTTTTCTTAACGTGAAATTAGGAACACTAGTAATAGCTCCACCAGGAGCACATACAGTAACACCAACACCACCATCTATCATGGGCCCACGAGAAGACCATGTATATGGCATACCAGGCATTTTTTCTCTTAAAGAATATTCAGCCACCATCATATCAGGTGAAACATAAGCACCAACACTAATAATACTGTTTGAACTGATGTCAGGTGGTGTTCCTATAATGGTACAATTAAAGAACATAAATTTGTGTGTCTATTATTTAAATATAATAGACACACAAATTTAATACAGTAGGAGGTTTTTCTTTTCGTACCAATAGTACATAATGCTGGCCCAAGATTTCCAGCAGATGCAACCCACGTAATAGCATATTTATCGATTACTTCATTCATTAATCTTCCTATTCGTCCTGTGTTAGACCAATGCGCGTGTTCACCATAACTCATATTTATAACATGAACTTTTTCTTTACGTTGCATGATGTATATCATTGCCCTTACTATAGCTGTTCCTGTTTCCATAGTACCTATACGCCCATCTCCAACTGTTAATGAAATTATTTGAGCACCTGGCGCTACGCCATTTAATTCTGGATTTTCAGGAAAATAAGCTGCTGCGATTGAAGCTACATGAGTTCCATGACTTGCTGAAATATATATATAGATATATTATATAATAAATGAAATTTATATTTTACAGAAAATAATGATTATATCAAATAAAAAGAAATCAAAGAGATCGATTACTTACAACACAAACTAACTATTTCAAGAGTATTTCCTTCATCGTGGACATTAATGGTAACGTTTAATTGATCTTCTTTTGTTAAAGGTGCATACTCTTTCGTCACAGAATATTCTCCGAGATAAACACCAGATTCCAAGTCACCTTCTTCTGAAGTATCAATGCATGCTCTGTAACATGCATATATATATATACACACATACATACATCAAAATACATTTAAATATAAATTCTTCTAATTAATTTAAAAATGTAATTACCTCCAAACGTTGCCATCGAAGAATACAACTACGTCATATACAGGTCCAGAATCAGAATATTTTTTTTCTGCATTGGTGAGTACTTCAACTCTGGCTTCCAATTCCTCTTTCTCCAATTTTTCTTCCCCACCATTGCTTGATTTGGAATTTTTTGCTTCGAATTCCTATAAGATAATAAAATCTATTATTTGTTGTTCAATATAAAAATTAAAAACATGCACACAAAACAACGGCTGTTACATTGCAACAGTCCAATTTCTCTATCAAAAAACATATTATATAATGCGATCAATAGCTTTACATCACTTCAAACTGCCAAATATAAATAGCATTAGACACCGATCACTGTAGCTTGTTGTGAAATAGCCGGCCTAATTACATGGTTCAACATACAACACTATCTTTGGATCACATGGTCTACAATTCTAATTGCAATCATGGTTCATTATATCTGTTATTTATAATTTATGAAATAATATTGTAATCTTATCAATCGTTATTAAAATCTAATTTATGTTAATGATTGTAAAATAATACATATTTATTTAAAACAATAGTTTTGTTGACATTCTCAATGCAAATTAATTATTAATTAATATCTATTATTATTATAGAAAAAAAATAAAATAAATATTACTTGTAACTGTCTAGAAGCTTCGGCAAGGGCAGCTTTTTGTCCATCATCCCATAGGTTTTTCTTACGTTCGGCAGTAATTCTGTCTTTTAATTTACCAGGATATAATGAATATAAATTTTTTACACCAATATGATATTCATTGCTAGGATTGACCCAATTTGAAGGGACCTTTAAATAAAAACTTGAAATATATCATAATTTTCATAAAAAAAAAAAAACACACATTCTAATATAAGACCTAATTAAATACCTTTAATTTACGACCTGTGATACCAATTATATATCCATCCGGAGCCTGGACAACTTTGCTTGTATCAACGTCACCAGCACCACTACAGTCAAATCTTTCAATTACTTTTGTTTTTCCATCCGGAGTTACCTAAAATTAATCGTTGTATTTGTACACTCTCATTACCTATATATTGCACACACACACACACAAATAAAAAATTGTTCAATCATTCAAACTGAAAACAAACAAATGAAGAAAAGAATTTTTTGATAAAGTATGTGACCTTGAGATGGAAATGTGATATTAATAAATAAACGACACGCATAGTTAAAATTAAGGTTAATATAAAAATGCAAACAATGACTTTGCACGATAAAAGTTCAATGCTAAAAAAAATCATTTGACTACTACTAATAATAATAATAAAAGTTAATATATTAAAACAAGTCTTTGAAAGATCTTGGTAATTAAAAAAAAAAAAAAAAAAATGTATAAAAAATTGATTATAAAAGATAAAAAAAATCAATCTTGAAATGAAGAAAAATAAAAAGTAAAAAGATTCATTTATATAGATACCAATCATATACAACAAAGAAGGAGCAACGGAAGTGGGCAAGTAACATTATCAAGATAATCAAATTAAAGAGATAAGAATTTGATGATATTTCTTTAAAAATATAATTAAATAATAAACAAATAAAAATTAAATCTAATATGATATAAAAACTACAATTTGGTTGGAGAAAAAGCGTCTAAATGAGGCGTGCCTACGTGTGTTGACTGTTTCTCACCTGCAAACCCGGTGCTCCAGGATCGACACCAGAATCGAGAATAGCTATGACGACGCCTTTTCCATCGTATTCGGGATATTTATTGAGAAATTGTGTGACACCTGTTTCTTTTTTAGGCAGTAGGCCCCACACAGGAAAATTACAGTCAATGATGTCTGCCATGTTTCAAATACCACTGCCACCGTGAGTTCAGAAAAACCACTTGAGATGTTTCCTTTGTACTATCACTGCCTTTATATATCAATCAAAAAATAGGTTCTGCGCTTGCGTGTACTAACACGAAGCAGTATGGACGGACAGACGAGAACACACGGGAAATGTTTTCACTGTTTTTTGAGGTTAACTTATCGACTCAAGGTACGATATCAATTTTACATGCATTAATTATTTTTAACAAGGATTTTTAATTAAATTCATTTATTCAAATTATTAAACTTTTCATTTATTCATCGATACATTTGCATTTAACGACTTTAGTTTAATTATAATAGAAAAATTACTAATACGAACGAAATGTATTTAATATTACTTCATCTAACGGTATGCAGATGGCAGCACCTGTGCTACGTCAATAATCACGTAGTAGTGGTATAACAGTAATATCGTGATCCTTCGACCAAACTGTTGTGTACGTACGTGTGTACGTGCGTGCATTGCGCGTCGTTAACTACTTTCGAGGTTATGTTCGGTTTTCGAGTAGTGTTTTGAAAAATGCACGATCCACCTACGATTTCTCTGTTTCGCGTAGGAAAACATATCGATGTAGTGGCACTCCGATTAGTATAGTAATCAAAATATATTGAAGTGCGACATGTGCAATACTAAAGCATGCTTTTCACCCAGAGAAAGATGAAGCAGATTGCTCTTTCCATCATTTGTGTTGTTTTAGGTATGTTTTATAATGTTAATTTTTATATCTAATAAATGACAATAAATATCGTTAAACAATCGATGATATTTCAGATCGTTCGATTCGATACGATCGAGATTAGCATTTATCGCGTTATTTAATTTTATTTCTTGATAATTTATTTCTTTTTCAATATCGTGAAATAAATATGCTCGTTTATATGATATAATCGCATAATTAATTATTCTCATGATCATACGATTAGAATGATTAAGTATGCACGAACTAGTAAAAAATAATGCTTACGCAAGCTACGATCCCGTTAATGTCAATGACAAATATAATAATAAATCTTATTTTCTTTCTTTGAATTTATTATTTCTTAATAAAATACTTATAATGAGTCTAGAAAAATATAATTAAATAATCGATTAAATAAACGAGTATTATAGAAGAAATTGTTATTAAAGTTCGTTCGATTTGTTTTTTTTTTCTTTGGTTCAATGTTATCGTAACGACAGATCAACACGAATTTATTTTCAATATGTTTTATTCATAGACGTACTATCTATAAGCGGATTCATGCATATATATCATTAATTATATATGTATATATGAATGAATTAAATTAAATTTGTATATTAAACGTTAGCAAGTATTATATTTAAAAAAAAATGAATAACAAATTTTTCTATCGATTAACTTCGCGTGGAAAATTTTTATTGAATTTATATGATAGAGTTTGATTTTATAATAATTTGATAAATTACTGTTTATATATTTGCGATAAATATAATTTTAAAACGTTTCGAAAATAAACATGACGATAATTTAGACAATCAACGACTCGTCTATGTTTTGGCGCGAAAATACGAAATATTGAATTGCTTAATATAATCTCTGTGCTTTAAATTTAACTTTTCGCAAGATTAAATTTATCACTTTTTACAATTAAATTTACCTATTGTTATAAAAAAAAAGAAAAAAAGAAAAAAAGAAATAAAATCCTTGTAGTTTTAGGATTCTACAAAAGTTTAGTAAATACAGAAGAGGAGGAAAATTTTCTTACGGTTCGTCAAAATGGTAACAAGGTAGAACGTAGTAAATTTCCAAACAACGAAAATGATAACAATTTGATAAAAGACAAAATGGAAAATGAAAAAGAAGATAGTATTAAACTTACCCTTATTAATGACGATATCAAGGACATCGAGGAAGCTAAGATTCGTATAAGCGAACTCGAAGGTAAATTACGTTACCTCGAAGCTAAAATCGAGAATCGCGTGCCGAAGAATTTTCCTACGGTTAAGTTCCTCAATTATAAGAATCGAAAAAGGATATTGGTTACTGGTGGAGCTGGTTTCGTTGGTTCCCATTTGGTCGATCGTTTGATGTTAGCCGGTCACGAAGTTATAGTTGTAGATAATTTTTTTACCGGACGCAAAAGAAACGTTGAACATTGGGTTGGCCATGAAAATTTTGAATTGGTTCATCACGACATCGTCAGACCATTGTATTTGGAAGTCGATGAAATCTATCATCTTGCTAGTCCTGCTAGTCCACCTCATTACATGTTGAATCCAGTTAAAACGATTAAAACTAATACATTGGGTACTATTAATATGTTAGGTATGTATGCATTTAGTATATTACAGTAGAAACGAGTCTTACGACTTTATCAAAAGGAATATATGTGCATGTAATATATGTTGGAAAAAAAAAAACAATTTCAGGACTCGCCAAGCGAGTTGGCGCACGTGTATTAATCGCAAGTACGTCCGAAGTTTATGGGGATCCTAACGAGCATCCGCAGACGGAAACTTACTGGGGTCACGTTAATCCTATCGGTAGGTTTTTCTCATATATTAAATAATTTAATGATACATCGGAAATTATATAAAAAAAAAAAAAATAAAAAAAATGTACTTACTTAGAAATAAAGATAACTATGAAACAATATATTCATTATCTTTTTATCTTGAAATATTTGAATTATAAATTGCAATCAAAATATGACACAATTTTGTAAATTTCCAGTCTGAGTATCATTCCTTATTAGAAAGATGATGAGTTTATTTGCAATTGTTTTTTACGTAATATATCCATTCAGGTCCAAGAGCGTGTTATGACGAAGGAAAAAGAGTAGCTGAAACGTTAAGTTACGCCTACATGAGACAAGAAGGTGTGTCAGTACGAGTGGCACGAATTTTTAATACTTTTGGTCCAAGAATGCACATGAACGATGGAAGAGTCGTATCGAATTTTATTCTCCAAGCATTGCAAAACGATTCGATCACCATTTATGGTAATGGAAAGCAAACAAGGTCTTTTCAGTACGTCACAGATTTGGTAGATGGATTGGTTGCCTTGATGGCTTCTAATTACACCTTACCCGTAAATATAGGCAATCCGGTTGAACATACCATCGAAGGTACGAGAAATCTTCTAATGCTAACAAGAACGAACAAAAAAAAAGAAAAATTAGAATTACTAGAAAATTAACATGTTTGTTTTATTTCTTTCGAATGTTTACAGAATTCGCGTTTATTATAAAGGATTTGGTCGGTGGTACGAGTAAAATAGTTGAATTAGCCGCAGTAGAAGACGATCCTCAAAGAAGAAGGCCTGATATTAGCAGAGCAAAAAAATATTTAAATTGGCAACCAAAAGTTCCTTTAGCCGAGGGTTTGAAAAAGACGATCATGTATTTCGCGAAAGAATTGCAAAGAACGATGCACTCTCAAAAGGATAGTATTAAACATTCGTCATATAAAAATGATCATGATATAATAGATCATCTTTAAAAATAAAAAAAAATAAAAAATAAAATAATAATAATAAAAACCAAATGATATTTGTTCTCATCTATGTTTTACATGTGTAAAACCCATCATTATCAAGTGACACGAGTTTAAAGTCACTGAGTCATGGACCACTATGTGCCAAAACATTTAGTCCCGTCCAATTTTTGGATTGTACGAAAGATGAATATGTTTATTGACACATTAATTAATCACTAATTAATGACGAATTCTTAATAATATGGAATTGTGATTTCTAATACTACTAACAATAAGATTTTAACGGGGATTCGGTTAGATTTAATTAAATATTGTTTTATTGTTAGAAATGAACAATTTATTGTCTCTAATAATTTTTATTTATTAATATTAAAATATCAAACAAAATTTCAACATATGTGTAAGCGTCTTGAATTACCTAAGTAAATTAACGAACTTACATTAATTGTGTTCTCAAATGTCAATAATATACAACACAACGCTTAAAAAACGATATGCTACGCGATACTAGTCCCATCGATTTTTTTTTGGGGGTACATATTATATATATACTTATATATACTTTTAATAATACAGTTATCATAATGAATTATCATGTGATAAATAATGCATACAAACTGCTGCTGCTGCTGCTGCTTATTTGACTTATTTATTAACAAAATAATAGAAAAGTATAATATACATATATGTAAAATATTACATTGATTATTCTTTCATTCTTATTCTTCTGATTGTTCTAAGCACGCGATAAAATCATTTTTATATTAACATTATAATTCTATTGTCGTATGTATGATATATATGTGATATATTCATATGTACACATATCTATATACACAAACACACACATACATATATATGTATATATATATGTATGAAGCATAAATCAAAATTTGAAGTACCTTCTGAAAGATATTAAATGTCATGTTGAAAATACAGATGGATAATATTTTCTTTAAACAGGACATTAATGTCTTTAAACGATGTTACCGTGGGTCTTGATTTTTACGATTAGAAACGGCGAGACTGTAAAATGCAACAGTAAAGGAAAAACTGGGAAAGTAATTTTATACGTTAAGTATAATTGTATATCGATGGAATAAAAAAGAAAAAAAAAGAAGTATAATCGCAGTAAAACTGTAACAAACAAACAGAAATAAACCAACCATCATCTGTTTCCGTTTGCCATTATCTACACATAATAATTTATTATCATAATGATAAATAATTAGTAGAACAGAGATAAAAATAAGGAAAAAAAAAGTGTGTAAAGAAATAGCTGTATTAATTAATTTATTGTTTTATATATATATATATAATTATTGTGAAAATTGTAGAAATATTATTTTCATCAATTGTTAATTTGAATACTTTTAGTAATATTAATTCATACTAATTAAATACTACTAATTAGTACTTGTATATACATTTATTCAAAAAACTATATATATATATATATATTTCTCATGTTTGCGTTGTAATTTTGATTTAATACGTAATATGTTTTATCTGTACGATAATAACTAGAAAAATTGCTTAAAAAAAGGGAGAGGGGAAAGATAGAAAACTTTTTCCCTTATGTTTTTTCTACATATACACACGTTTATAAAATATTATACGAGAATATTCAAATATGAGAAGAAGAAAAAAAAATGCAAGGTGTGACTAGTCTTCG